TGCATGGTTCTGAAATAATTATACTCTTGTTCATGATACTTTTGGTAGCCCAAAATACCAGATATTAATGAAGCGGGCAGACCACCAAAGTGATCTTGAACACAATCTCACAGGCCTCGCTCAGTCGGTTGCAAGTTGCACATGGAGCAGTCAGGGCTATCGGGTGTCTAAAATCATTTACTGCCAATAAAGTGACCTCCACCTCAGTGTGCCACTACTTAGTTGAACAGAGAACAGGGGACCGGTTATTTGATTGTTCTCAGAACTTGGGAACTAAAAGCACTTCATTAACGCTCATTAAAGCTCTTACAGGGTCAAATCACTACATCCCTACAATGTTCATACTTTCCTGCAGGAAGAGACCCCTCTATGTAGCAATACAGATATTTAAAAAATGTAGATCAAGCTCTCTCATTTCTAGGCCTTAATTAGGTTGTGAATGATCGTTTTGAAAAGTGGGGACCTTCAATTTGCATTGAAAAAGGAGGGGCAGGATTCTCTCTCTTTTTTCTAAACAATTTTCTTTAAAAATTCACAGGACAGCTCTGCTGGTGGTATCGCCTAACACAGCAATCACGGCTCTGCTGGTGGTATTGTCTAACACAGCAATCAAGTACACTTTAAAAAGCAAGAGAGAGAGAGAGAGAGATTCTTCTGTCTGAAATTAGATAAAAACTTTGTTGGGGTGTTGTTCTGTAAAAGGTGGGAAGCTCTTTGCAAAACATGGCTCCCACCACACGCCAAGTCTGGTCAGTGTTCAGATTAGCTCAGTCATCTCAACACACTTCACCTCATTAGGAATACAAGAAATGCCACACGGGACAGATCATTGGTCCATCCAGAAGGTCTCAGGAGTGTTACAGGAGCAGAGGGCATGTTAAAGGGAAGAATATTGAAGCAGAACAAAATCACCCTCTTCTCTCCCCTGCCCCTCTACCTCTGCAGCGTCCACACAACCAGGATTGGTTTTCTCTCTCTTGCATATCTTCCTAGGCTTGGTCTTTTGAACATATGGACAACAACTGACTTGGCTCGGCAAGGATAAACATCAGGACATCTATCTCATACATCTTCAAGGCTGTAAACCAGAGTTCTCCTGCGATCCTGCACTTTCTTTTCTCCTGCAACCATCCCCAGCCATCGCCTAGAAAACAAAACTAATAACAGACAGTGGATATTCTAATATTCTCAGAATTTAGCATATCAAAGCACTTCATTAAGACTCATTAAAGCTGTTACAGGGCCAGATCATTACATTTCTGCAAAGTTCATACTTTC